AAGCTTTGCTGTGCATTCACCTTTTCCTCTTTTTGACATGAAAGGTGTCTATACATTATTTCAAGATACAGTATAAATGTTCCCTCCATCATAAGACCTTTTTGAGCCCTGTAGGATAAGCAATAGACCTTGAACCATGAGGTCAGCCATTTAAGCCCACCAGCCACTCTTTGGGATAAAGATGAGGTTCCTACAAGATTTAAAGCCTTGGAACTATAGCCTTCAGTATGGATTATCCCTCAACATAAAGAAACCAATGGACCACTAGAACAATAAGCAACATCAGAGTAAGCCGAGGCCTGGATGGCCAGACTTCGTCTCTCATACTTCGGACATATTGTCAGGAGGGAGCAATGTTTGGAGAAGGATATCATGTTTGGTAAGGTGGAGGGTCAGAGGAAAAGAGGAAGACCCCCAACGAGATGGATTGGCAGACTGGCAATATTGATGGGCTCAAACGTGGCAACAACTGTGAGTTTGGACCAGGACAAGCCTTTTGTGTGTAAGGCTGCTATGAGTTGGTACCAACTCGATGGCACCTAACAACAACCTATAGAAGTTGTTACGGATTTCTTTTTACTTATATCCACAATCAACACCCATGGATGAAGCATCAAGAAATCAAACAATTATTGCATAGAGTGAATCCGCTGCCAGATCTCTTTAAAGTGTTCAAATAAAATATGTCACTTGAAGGACTAAGGTATGCCTGAATAGTATACCACGTCATGGTATTTTAAACACCTCATATGCATGCGAAAGCTGAACAGTCAGTAAGGAAGAATTATGGCATTGGCAACGAATATTGAATGGACTGCCAGCAGAATGAAGAAATCTTGGAGTAAGTCCAGCCAGAATTCCCCTAGAATGAAGGATGGGGACGCTTTGGATGTTATCAGGTGGGGCAAACTAGTACTGGAGGACGTACTGGGTAAAGGGTCAGAGAAAAAGAGGAGACCTTTAACAAAATAGACTGTGAGGAAGGCGCGAGACTAGGCATTTAATTCTTTTGGACATAGATTACGGGTCAGAGTCAACTCAACAGCATCTAGTAACTTCGCTCCAGTATCCAACTCCAAAGACCACTCCATTCTCTGTGCTATTGCCCTTTGTATCTGCCTTTGATTACATTTAAATTACATTGCAGAACTCCTAATTACTATCATTTTGTAAGTTCTAGAATGGAGTTTTATTAATCTACATTAACTCCCCTTCCTAACTCAATTGGCAAACATGCTGAAAGCACTTGGTAAGTATGATAAATGGTTACTCCAACAAATGAACTGAGTTCACTCTTGCCACAAGGGCTCTCGCAAGTTTGTCCCCTAAAATGCATTATCAACTTATTTTAATATCCAGTGAAGAAAAAAAAATTCATGAATGTTCTTTTGTTTTGAAGTTGTTATAGTTAAGGTTTTGTGTCAGCTTGACTAGGCCAGGATTCTCCCTGTTTGGCAGTTGAGATGTAGTTATTCCCATAAAGATATCTAATACAGTGTAATTAACTCTATGATTTTTAGCTATGAGTAGCCAATTAATTGAAAGGATGTTTCCTCAGTTTTGTGGCCTGTTTCCAAGATATTAAGAGACTCAGGTAAACCTTGTTTGCTTTCTGCTGGGTCTGAATCTTACATCTGAGTTCATCCTCCAACCTCCGGTTCTTTGTACTTGAGCCAGTGGCCTGCTCTATTATCTGTTGATCCTGGGAGCCATTAGCAGCCTGCCTTCTTACCTGCCTGCCTGCTGATCTTGGTTGATCTAACCCAGATTTGGAATACTCTCACCTCTATGACTGTGAGACATTTCCTTGATATAAACTTCTCTTTACGTATATAAGATGAGACTTTCTGCTCTTGTAAAGATTTACAGCTTCAGAAACCCTATACAAGGTTGCTGTGAGTCAGAAATGACTCGACAGCACACCACCACCATTACCACCAAGTTCTTGTTGTTAAGGGCCGTCGTGTTGGTTCTGACCCATAGCGACCCTGTATAGGATTTCCGAGGAGTGAGTGGCTGGTGAATTTGAACCACCAACCTTGTGGTTCAAACCCACTTTGCAGTCTAGCGCATTAACCCACAGCGCCATACCAGGACTCCACCACCACCATAAACATACATGTTTCACTGACTTTGTTTCTCTAGAGAACCCAGCCTGAAGACAAAAGGTGTACGTGAAACAAACCGACCATGGTAAGTAGTATTAGCTGAGGAGATCGCAAAGTTCCAATCCACACTCTTAAATGAGTATAACATGAATGTAGAAATTACAATCTCAGGCCTCTGCCATATTTTATTTTTTCTCATACATTTCATGTTATTCATTATGCTAAATTCTTTTATTTCTAAAAAGATGTCAACCATTTTTATAGTACCTGAATTGGGTGCCCTTTGCACTGAGGTATTCTTAAGAAATTGGATCTTCCGACAGTACACACACAAAACTTGTCCTGTCAGCTAATTTTAATCATTAGTTTTGTTTTAGGTTGGTTATTTACTGTTCCTGAAATGTTCTTTAACCCCAAAGTATAAAGAAAATCAAGTTCCAATGGGTTCGATTTTTTTTTAATGTATAACATATTACCTGGAATACTAAAAATAAAATTAAAAAAGATTATTTTATAATCAACTCAATAATCAAACCAGGGAAATAAAACACAATTTCCTTGTGGCAAAGCTATTTTATTGAACTACATGGGGGAAATGTAATAGTGACACTCTTCCATAACAAAATTATCTGAACTTAGTTTGGATTTCATGAGGCAAAAATACACTTTCAACAAAGTATTGTCATTAACAGCTAACTACATTAGATTCTAAATTAGGTTCTTTTAGTGCTCTCAAATGAACACTTTTCCAAAACATATCTGATACTGTCAATTAAAGAGCATAGGTAAAATCAATTCACAAAGGTTTACCAATTGTGTGATCTGTGCTTGGAAATTGTAATTACTTATTTGATAGCCACCATTTTGAAAGGAATATCTCAACAGTCAAAGAAGTGTTTTATAAATATTTTGGAAAATATTTAAAAGCTTTATTGATAGGTATGCTTTTATATCAATGTAAGCACACACACCAAATATTTTAAACAATAAATTGTTACAAATGATACACAAATCTTTTTAAATCAGTTCAACAGTATGGTGAAAAAATAAATCCTTTCACAGAACTATAAAGTATACTTGCTACTAGTGACAAACCTGTATAAGATTTCCAAGGAATGGCTGGTGGGTTTGAACCACCAACCTGGTGGTTAGCAGCTCAGTGCTTACCCTACAGCGCCACACAAGCCATTAATAGAAGTATTGAAAAACATAAATGTGCTTGAAACATTTGTAAACTTTCTCCCTCCATTTTAGAAAATGCTTTCATAAGCAATAAACAAATTCTCTTCTTTAAAAAACTGTTACACTCATCACAAAGATAACAACTGTTATTGTTTTGCTATAAAAATAGCTACCAACAAACATTAATTTAAAAAGAGAAAGTCAGTTTTAATGCTAGCCTGACTAATAATAGTGGATTAATCTCCCTACATGGAAATAAAGCCAATCTGTTTTCCCATAAAAATTCTAATATTTTAGATTGAATTATTATTTCCTGTAATAATTAGTTTAAATTAGTTCAATCAATAGAATTACCTTGGTTTTTATGATTAAATTATCCTGAAAGAACCAATGATGATTAACAAAAATCCTAAACTACATTATATATTTAACTCAATTTCTATATTCTGAAAATATTGTTAAGTGCAATAATCTTTTAATTTAATTTCCTCTAAAATTATCAATGACAACAATGGATCAGAATTAAGTGAATGTACACACTTCAGTTAAAGTGCACAGCTCACAGTCCATGTATGCAACAGAGCTGCAAATGCAGCTTGCTATTTTCTTTGTGCAAAAATTTAAATTCAAAATAATATATGTAGGATAAAACTTTTCTTGAAATATTCTTTCCATCACCGAGGGGCAGACATTTCTCAATATTTATTTTCTCTGACCACACAATTTAAAGAATTTTTAAACTGATATAGACAATATCATTCCAGAAACACAGGCAGACTTGCAGCAATTAGAACTCTATGTTCTCAGACCTACAATCCAAATAGGAGTTAATGGTTTGTTAGTTCAGTTTTTAGTTATTACACGGATTGAGGTGGTCATGGGGCACTAAGTAAGGAAGGGAGCAAGAGATATATTATGCCAGATACATGGTCTGAAATGACCCAATGCAAAAAATAAGTCTCCAAGTTACTCTGAATCAGAATCAATTCATGGCAGTGGATGGGTATGGTAGCCAGGAACTATGTTAACCTATTTCCACCAAGTTAGAACTTTTCAAATGCTTTCAATTAGTTTTTTATTGTTTAAGGATGCCAAAATAAGATACAAAGCACCTAATTATGTTACTTCATTTCCTTTAAAATCTGACCTATTTTTGCATAAATTGTTTAGTCAAAATATACCCTTTTAAAAGTAACAATGATTTCTATAGAACTAACTGACATTAATCAAGATTCTAGAACTGCTGAATGCGCCATTCAGAATGCAATAAAAACTTCAATACAAAATAAAGAACTCTCTGGGAAAAAGCAAATACCAGTTTTTATCCTACTAATAATACTTTCCATCTAAAAGGCATACCAGTAGGTGTGTACTAAATTTCTTCATATATTTTTCGAATCCTAGGAATGCAGGACTGAACAGCTGCTCACTCCTAAAATCCCATCATATATTCATTTGAAGTCCCCTTCACTGGGCTGTCAATCGAGAGGTGCTGACTCATCCTTCCTTAGCTTCATATTTCAACCTCACCCAAACACCACACGCAGGAACAAACTTGATTAAGTTGATAGTTGATACACAGTACAAAAGTAAGCATGACAATGATAAACAGTAAGGTACCAAAATGATCCAATATATTTGAGATCAAATCTTATCACTGTCATACTTCAAAAGCAATTTTAGTCAAAACTAGGTATCATAAAGACTCATTTAGCACCAGCATGTCATCACAGGCTTTGGTTCAGGCTTCAGGACAATTACATTATCAGGGGGTTGGCTAAGCATTAATGGTTTGTGACTCTTTAGCTTATGAGCCAAGGTCATAAATATAGCTTCCACATGGTCGTTATCATTGGGGCTTTTAGCAGAGGTTTCAAACAAAGGCATACTGTGTGTGTCAGCAAATTTTTGTGCCAAGTCTGTGGGTACCTGAATGGCACTTCTCAAGTCACATTTATTTCCAACGAGAACCCGTGGTATATCATTGGCTAGCAAATGCTGTTTGCATTCTTCTATCCAAGCTGGCAGGCTATGAAAACTAGCCATGTTAGTCATATCATACACGAAGACAACAGCATGAACATTTCGGTAGTAATGTTGGACCATGCTCTTTCTGAATCGTTCTTGTCCTGCTGTGTCCCATAACTGGATCTGAAAATGGAAGAAAAATTTTAAATTTCATTTCATTTCATTCCAATTACACATACTAAAAAATTTAATCACCTATTAGTATTTCCTTAAAATACTTTAATGACTGCTTTCTGTCATGTTCAGTGTTATCTTTTACAAAACCCAAATTTGAAGATACTACTCTGTTGTTTTTGTGTGCCACTGAGTCAATTCCAAATCACAAAGACCCTTCATGACAGAACAGAACTGTTCCCATAAGTTTTCCTAGGCTGTAATCATTAATTACGAGTCCTGGTGTGACATTGTGTGCTATAGCATCAGACTGCAAAGTCGTTTGAACTGCAAGGTCAGTGGTTCAAGTTCACCAGCTACTCCTTGGAAACCCTATACAGGGTCACTATGGGTCAGAATTGACTCGACGGCACTTAACAACAACAATCATTAATTAATGGGAGCAGGGTCACCAGGTTTTTTCTTCCACGAAGCTGCTAGTGGGTTCAAACCACTGAACTTTCAGTTAATAGCAAAGTATTTACCACTGAGCCTTCAGGGCTCCTTGATACTAATCTAGTAACCTCATAATAAAGTCAGAATACAAGATCAGAAATATTGGTTCTAATTCTTCAACACAGCATGTGCTAAGTTTCAGTAAACCAAATTTGTTTGAATAAAATAGTAGTTCAAAAACTGATTTTCAAGATGTTAGAGAAAATATAACTGGATTTAACAAACATATTGTCTAATTCCTGTAGGTTTGATTACTACTGTATTTTTACATACAAAAACTGTACACATTATATATAGTTTTCATACTGTATAGCCTTCACATTACTTCCATCTGCACACTATATCAAAATTTTTTTTTTAACATATTGTCAACTTTCATGTCTTTTTTATCCTATCCAATGATTTAATGCTAAGTCTTCATCTTGGTGTCTGCTGACACGGAGGTTTGGCTCCCAGCAGTAGACCCTCACTAGCCTATCCTTGACTTTCTAAAGCAGCCCCTCTCCTACCAGGAATCTTTCCCTGCTCTGCAAACTTTTCTCCAATGTACGAAGTTCCTTTTTCTGCCTTGGAAATAGCACTAGAGGAGGTGTGCAGGTCTTCACACCCCAGGCCATTCAGGTGAGAGAGACTGACATGCTGGAGCTGAACACATTCCACTGTCCGTTGGCCTCTATTGCCTTTGGGCCATTTCAATCTCTCACACACACAGTGACATAGCTAGATGGGCACAAGAAACATCTGTGTTGTCCTGGCAGCTGACTTCACTGACTGCACCATGGGACTTGGATGTGCAAGGGGTCAATGACTGTCCCCTGCCTCAGGACCAGCCCATGCTTGGGGTGTAGCAGCCCCCCACATCACCCTCTGCCTATGTCTGGGAGCAGACTAGCTACTAAAGAGGGCACTGGCCACAGTGGAAAAGACTAGATGCAGATTTGCTTAGATAAATTTGAGCTGAAAGTCTTACACTTAAATAAATATTCCAAGTACAAAATAGAAGGCTTAACTGATGACTTCTCGTAGAGTAATATGGAAGTACAAGGAAACTGAAGGGATAATCGAAGGACTCTGATTGAGTAAGTATGATGAAAAGATACAATCCTGGCGCACACCTTCCCTGATTCTAAACTTTGTTCTGTTCTAATAGTTGCCTCATGGTCTATGTACGGGTTCCTCACAAGCACAATCAAGTGTTTTGGAAAAACCATTCTTTGCAATGTTTTCCATAGCTTGTCATGATCCACACAGTCAAAAAGTCTGAATAGTGTATAAAACACAAGCAAGCATCTTTCTGGTATTCTCTGCTTTCAGCCAATATCCATCTGACATAAGCAATGATATCTATTCTTCATTCCATACTCTCTTCTGAATCCAACTTAAATTTCTGGCAGTTCCCTGTTGATGTATCATTGCAAGCAGTTTTTGAAGTATCTTCAGCAAAATTTTACTTGCATGTGATACCACTGATATTGCTTGTTGGTTTCCACAATTCACTGGGTCATCTCTCTTTAGAATGGGTATAAATATGGATCTCTTCCAATCAGTTGGTCAGGCAATCGCCTTCCAGATTTCTTGGCATAGATGAGAGAATGCCTCCCGGTGCTGCATTAAGTTCGGTGAAACATTTCAACTTGCATTATATATCTATTCCTGGAGTCTTGCTTTTTGCCAATGCCTTCAGTGCAGCTTGGGCTTCTTCCTTCAGTACCACCAGTTGTTGACAATATGGTACCTTTTGAAATGGTTGAACATCAGCCATTCTTTTTTGCTATAGTGACTTTGCATATTCTTTTCATCTTCTTTTGATGCTTTTTGCATCACTGAATCTTTTGCCCACAGAATACTTAATATCACAATGCAAAGCTTGAGTTTTTCCTTCATTTTTTTTCAGCTTGAGAAATACTTAGCATGTTCTTCACTTTTGGCTTTCTCGTTCCAGGTCTTTGCACATTTCATTGTAATATTTTACCTTTTAACTTTTTTTTTTTGGAGATGCCCTTTGAAATTTTCTGTTCAGCTCTTTCAACTTTATTTCTTCTATTCATTTTAGCTTCTCTGTGCTCAAGAGCAAGTTTCCCAGAGGACCCTAGGACCATCAAAGGAGAAGAGCACAAGTGAAGTATGGGACCCTATCCAGAGAAGCAGCAACATCAGAGATAGAAGCAGAGATGAGGACATGTAGAGAGGAAGCAGATGAGGACTCTGGACTCAAAGAAAGAGAGGGACTGGTTGCTGGCGACCAGGAGGAAGGCTTGCAGAATGTGCCCTTTGGTTGTTTAAATTCTGTGTACATCTCCCCTCTCCCCTCACCAAAAACAACAAACAAACACACAGAAACCAGAAGGAATGAAAGCAAATACTATTGAATGATGATGCACAGAGGAGACTGTAATCATTGCAATGAAAAGATGATGTAAAACCAATGTTCTCCCACATAAACTATCACTCAGTTAACAATAAAAACTTTAAATATAATAAAAAGAGCAAGTTTCAGAGTCTCTTCTGACTTCCATTATGGTCTTTTCTGCCTTTCCTGTCTTCTTAATATTTTGTTTTCTTCCTGTCTGGTGTTCTTGGTATCATCCCACAGCTCTTCTGATCTTCGGTCATTAGTATCTAACTCGTCAGATTCAGATCTGTTCTTGAGATATTCCATAAATTCATGTAGGATATATTCAAGGTCAGATTTTGAACCTCACCGATTTGTTGTAATTTTTTTCAGTGTCAGTCTGGGTACTATGGTGTTATTCAAGCTTACAGAACTAAACACAATGAAAAATATACAAAAGTCACGAGAGATCACTTTTTACTCTAATACACAATGTACTGGAGAAACAAACTGCTCATGCAGACACAAGTTAACAACAAAAGCAAAAAAGTAGCAGCAGCACATGGAATACAATCTTACTATAAACTATGCAGATTAAAAAAAAAAAACATACAAAACCCCTTTTTTAAAAAGTTCCAACATTTATTGTTGTTAGGTGCTATCAGGTTTGTTCTGACTCAAAGCGACCCTATGTACAACAGACTGAAATACTGCCTGGTCCTACGCCAACCTCACAATCCATCTAATTGGGGGTCTTCCTCTTTTTCTCTGACCCTCCACTTTACCAAATATAATATCCTTCTCCAGGGACTGGTCCCTTCTAACAATGTGTCTGAAGTATGAGAGACAAAGTCTGGTCATCCTGACTTCTAAGAAGCATTCTGGCTACACTTCTTCCAATACAGATTGGGTTGGTTTTTTTTGGCAGTCCATGGTACTTTTAATATTCTCCTCAACACCATACCTCAAATGCATCAATTATTTTATGGCCTTCCTTACTCACAGTATATAACTTTGACATGCATATGAGGTTACTGAAAATACCATGGCTTCATCAGGTACACCTTGGTCCTCAAACTAACATTTTTGCTCTTAAACACTTTAGTCTTGTGCAGCAGATTTGCCAAATACAATACATTGCTTGATTTTTTTTTTTAGTTTTTATTGTGAATTGACTGAAAGTTTAGAGGGCAGATCATCAGTTTTACATTCAACAAATCACACAACTTGTTTACAATGATTACAATCCTCCTCATGTACCATCAGTTAACAGTATTTCTCTCTACTCATTTTAGCTCTTTAAAACAAAAAACAAACAAAAAAAAAAGACACTCAGGTATATATAATAATTTACACCATCAAAGGGCACATTCTGCAAGTCTGCCTCACGGCCACCATCTCTTAGTCCCTCTCTGTCCCTGAATCTAGCATCCTCAGCTGCTCCCTCTCTCCATGTCCCCATCTCTGCCTCCATTTCTGATGTCACTGCTTCTCTGGATAAGGTCTCGCATTCCGCTAGTGCTCTTCTCCCGTGATGGTCCCAGAATCCTCTGTTTCTGGACTGTAAGACTTTTGTTACAAAGCTTCTATCTTTACAATTGTGACAGTCACAATCAGTCATGATAACTATTACTCACTATTGAATCATAAGAATCTTATCCCCATCTCTTTTAACAAGACCTAAGGAGCTCTCTGCTATTCAGTGCTATAAGGTTTTCAGTGACTAATGATTCAGAAGTAGTTCGTCACCCTTTCTCTCAAAGACTTTCTCCAGTCTTTGTCTGGAAGCTCATCCGAAACCTGTCCATCATGGGTGACCCTGCAACTCACAAGCCACCACAGTATGACAAACTGACAGACGAGTGGTGGGCGTTTGGTTTTAAGTGGAAACTGCACATATTTGTGCCCATTCCAAAGAGAGGTGACCTAACGGAATGCGGAAATCACCGGACAGTATCTTTGATATCCCATGTGAGTAAAGTTTTGCTAAAGGTAATACAGAAA